GCAATTCAAACTAATGAAGGAGTTGTTTATGGAGTTTTTATAATTGTAATTGACAAAATAAATCCATTTAAATATAAATTAAGATATGAAATACTGTTTCTATGTATTAGGAAATTGCTGCGAATAAAAAACAAAATAATCAGCCGATCATAAAATTTGCAATCTGTTATTGGTTTGGCGTTCACGTACTTTTTTAGGTACTCTTCTCTTTGAGGGCAAATTCTCGGAAATTAAGATACTGGCAGTGAACTGGTTTGTTAGCATATAAACAAACGTGATAACATACACACAGTATTGCACTAGGATTGTAGGCAAATAATGACACTTAATAAGTATAATTTGAAAAATAACTACCATACGAGGATGTTTTTCCGCTGCGTCACCACTTTCGCTCTCTCTGGGTCATGTAGGACGAGGTGATTGGTGGTGTTTTCGTGAATATATCGGAGTGTACGTTCACACTTCCATGTGCGCCTTTTCTGTTTGAGGACCTATTACGAAGGGTAGCGTCAGTCCCTCCCCCACCCCAAGAATTGGACACCAAAAATCGCCTTGCTTTTGGCGTTGGTATTAAAAAATATTTGCCTATTTTGTGCATTTTGGGTCTTGGGTCGCCGTCTGAGTTGGTTGTTTAGTGGTTGGAGATATCGGCTCCGTCTGGCCAGTTACTATCCAGCCGAAGACGGTTTCTTGGGCTAGTAGAGTTCCTTTCCTTTTGATACCATCTAATATTATCTGGGCATAAATATCGCCGCCCAGAATAAGATCAACTTTTTTATTTTTGAAGAAGTTCTTGTCGGCTAAAAGTAGGTTCGGGAACGCTTGCTTAGTCTTAGCATTTACTTCGCAAGTGGGTAAATTTCCTGTGAGTTTCGGTAGAACTAGGACTTTCGTATTTATATTGGTTGAAGGGTCAATGGGTGACCGCAGTTGAACGACGTTTCTTTTACTTGCGCAGAAACAGTGTTGTTGATGCCTGATACCTGGGCACGTATTCTTTTGGATGGCAAGTTGATTTTACGTTTAAGGCTTTCTGTTATAAAATGGGCTTCTGAGCTGGAGTCTATTAGTGCGCGGGCTGAAAAGTTACTATTCTGGAAAAATCTATTAACACGCGCTGTTCCTAATGAACCCCTTTTCTCGTATTAGCGAAGCAAGCTTGAACGTTGTTTACTGCCCTTGCAGATTCGCTTCTGGCTTGGGCTTGGGCGGAAGTTGATGCAATGTTAGTTGCTTTTGGTGGAACTGCCTGGATATGGAGGAGCGTATGATGTCTCAAATGACAGGCCCTACAATAAAAGGGGCTACTGCACCTTGATACCGTGTGACCAGAGGATTGACCGTTCAAGTAACTGTTATTATTCTTTATGAAGGTCATTCTATCACTTGTTGCTAGGTTGAGGAACTTCTGGCAACTCGACAGCTTGTGCTCATTGCTCTTACAAAATTTGCACATTGACTTGGCTACACTAGCTTGAGAAGACTTTAACCCTTTTTGGTGGCTTTCAATGTGGATACTATTGTGTAGCCTTGAAGGTGGGTTGGGTTTAAGGCCTTTAATATCTGAAACTGTTTCTAGGGTTTTAAATCGAAGAGAGAGAAATTTATCCATATCTTGCCACTTAGATATTTCATATTTGTTTTCAATCGTTTGCTCCCACAACGTTAAGGTAGTTTCAGGCAATTTCGTTGAGCAGAGATATGTAATTATTGCATCCCAGTTTGTGATGTCAATTTGATGACATTGTAAGGACGAGATACAATTATTAATATCCCGCTGCAATTTTTTAATAGAGTTTCCGCACTCATTCTCTACCGCCTCTAGATTAAACAGAATCTTCAGTTGAGTGTTTACTAGGATACGTTTATTTTCCTACCTATCACTCAAATTCTTCCATGCAGTTAGAAAGCCATCGTTAGTTAAAAGACATTTACTCACAATCTCTCTGGCCTCCCCTCAGTTTTTTGGTTAAGGTGGAACAATTTTTCCTCAGGGGTGAGGCGCTTGTTGCGTATGTATATGACCGTAAACATGTCTCGGAACGTCGGCCAAGAGAGATAGTCGCCTTTGAAGACCTCCGTATCGCACGGCGGTAGTTGAATATTATGGGCGGACATATCCTCTACATAATTGTCACTCTTAACTAGCTTTGCGTGAAGTTCTGCTATGTTCGACATGCAGCACAAATATACAGCATAAGAATTCTTANTTTAGTTAAAATTTGTTAATTTGTATGTTGTTTTATGTTTTTAATTTATGAGTTGCAGTGTTGTTGGAGGGACTTTCCGGCATAAGGGTCATAGGAACAGCACTTGGCATCAAACGTGCCTTTCCTGTACCTCCCGGTGCATTTATGAAATCTGCTGCTTTAAAATGTTTAACGCACAGCAAGGCATTTCGCTGCAGCTCTGGCCCACAGCTGCTTTCGCAACGCTCTTTACGCGAAGGACATTGAGGCACGTTAAATGGTATCTGCTTCATATTTAACACCACATAAAAAGCAACGCTTCGGTGTTGCATTTTTAACACATACATTAAGTATAAACTGCACAACACTACAAAAATTCAAATGTTAATTAAAATTTGTTATTAACGAACATTCAAAAAAAAAACAACGATATGACATTCAAAGCGTAACGAAATATAGGAAATAAAAGAAAAACAAGTTGAAGTTTAAAGGTTTGGTTCTCATGAGAGCAACGTCATTTTGGCTTCTACCTGTATTTATGTGCCTTGATTCGTGTCACAATATTTTTTTTTCAAATACCAACACATCTTAATTCAACTTTGAATGACGTTCCTACATCCTACCTTTCTCTTTCATCCTTTGAATGAGTTTATTAGCAAAGAAATAAAAAGGTAGAGAAAATACCTTTCTAATGACACCTCCTAAGTCTAAATCAGAAGTTTAGGTTCAGTTATTCAAGTTTTTGTTATACCAATCTTTAAAAAAGTTAAAAAACAGCATCAAAAATCTCATCATTACGATTCCGTTCAAAATTTTTCTTTTAATTTTTTTTAAATATTTTTCTGCAAATTTCTTAAGCTTAAGCCGTTTTGTCGTTTGAGGGGATTTTTTCAAAAAAATTTTAAATCTTTATTTTTATTCATAAAAAACTCCATTTTTGGAGGTATTTTCAAATCGGTCCAGCGCACCTAAATCTTAATATTTTTCCGAAATATTTTGGTGGACGTCTTAAAATATAATAGATTTTATAATTCCAATGGAAAAACAGTAGCGATTTTTTTTTTGTATGGGGAGTGATGCAGTCTAATGTATATACATAAATACAAGCTTACATTACACGTTTTTGTATAATTGATGTAATTTTTAGAAAGTGTAGATTTCTTGTTGACATAAGTTCAGGTCGGTTTTATAAATGAACACCTTTTGTTAGACAAAATTAAAAGGGATGACTTAATTACTATCTTGAGATTACGAAAAGGGAGATCAATTGGACCTGTCAGCTAGGTTAGACTGTGGTGTAATGAAGGAGTTGTTTATGGAGTTTTTATAATTGAAATTGACAAAATAAATCCATTTAAATATAAATTAAGATATGAAATACTGTTTCTATTAGGAAATCGCTGCGAATAAAAAACAAACTAATCAGCCGAGCATGAAATTTACAATGTGTTATTGGTCTGGAGTTCACGTACTTTTTTAGGTACTCTTCTCTTTGAGAGTAAATTTTCGAAAATTAAGGTACTGGCAGCAGTGTTGCCGCGAAACATTTTTAGCGGTAGCTAAATTCAGGCTAAAAAAGGGCTAAAAAAGAGCTAAAAATCGTCGTTGTGGCTAAAAATGGTAGCTAAATTTTTTTACCTACATATAAATATATAAGTATACACGCAAACATTTTCTATAAGTAATGATATAGAAAAACAATGAACTCTGGAAAGAATTAATATTTTATTCAACAAATAAACTTGTTGTGTAACACATAAAGCATATTAAGGGCCGCCAACTTACCTATTTTAAAGTATAGTTAAATCGTTAATGGATAAGATAACGGCCCAGAAACGTAAAAAACATACATATACATATGTATGTACAGTTTAAAAATTAATTTCTTACATAAACAAAAAAATGAGATCACATTAAGAATACATAAGTACTAGAATCATATCTATATACAGTGTCGGACAATACTAAATAACTTAAATAATTTCAAACTATGCTTCGAAAAATATCCATTTGTAAAAGAAATTTTTAAAATGTTATGTTATAATTTACAAAGAATTAAAATGTCGGTGCTTTATTATTGTCCGACGCTGTATGTATCAAACAAACAAAAGAGTATTCATTTAATGAACTCATAGTAAAATAATTTAATCTATAAACATTTTTTTTAACACATTAAATATTTATATCTATATCAATACTATCATCGCTAAGCGATTCTTCGTCGTTACAATTTTGTTCATTTCTCATTAACCTGACGATATCATCTGTAAAATCAAAATCATGACAACATTTCTGTACATTTTTTAAGCCATATCTTACAGTTAATAAAGCGTTTAACATTGCAAAATTCATTTTATTTCTGTGCTTATTTTTAACGAAATTTATTATAGAAAACGTCCTTTCAACTTCTGCGTTACTTAAAGGTAAAAGAAGCAACCGATAAACAAACTTTTTCCACCACTTAAGCTAGCGACACAATGAACAGTTTATTTGCCTTAAAGGAAAGGCGTTCGCTTTATGAGCGAAGAGTTAAATTCATGAAAATCATATAAAAAATTTCAATGTCAATGATGAGTAAATTTTGAAAAGGGCTAAAAAAAGGGCTAGGGGCAATTTCAAATTTTTGTGGCCAAAAAAAGAATTTGGTAGCCAAATTTAGCCACCAAAGGGCTAAAACGGCAACACTGACTGGCAGTTAACTGGTTTGTTTGCATATAAACAAACGTGATAACATACACACAGTATTGCACTAGGTATGTATGTGAATGGCATATAATGACACTTAATAAGTTTAATTTTAAAAATAATTACCATACGAGGATGTTGTTCCGCTGCGCCCCCACTTTCGCTCTCTCTAGGTCATGTAGGACGAGGTGATTGGTGGTGTTCTCGTGAATAGATAGGAGTGTATGTTCACACTTCCATGTGTGCCTTTTCTGTTTGAGGACCTATTACGAAGGGTAGCGTCAGTCCCTCCCCCGCCCCAAGAATTGGACGCCAAAAATCGCCTTGCTTTTGGCGTTGGTATACAAAAATGTTTGCCTATTTTGTGAATTTTGGGTCTTGGGTCGCCTTCTGAGTTAGTAAGCTGTCTGTTTAGAGAGACCGCATTAAAGAACGATGCGTATTTAGTGGTTGGGGATATCGGCTTCGTCTGGCCAGTTACTATCCAGCCGAAGACGGTTTCTTGGGCTAGTAGAGTTCCTGTCCTTTTGATACCATCTAATATTATCTGGGCATAAATATCGCCGCCCAGGATAAGATCAACTTTTTCATTTTTGAAGAAGTTCTTGTCCGCTAAAAGTACACAGTGTTGTTGATGCCTGATACCTGGGAACGGATTCTTTTGGATGGCAGGTTGATTTTACGTTTAAGGCTTTCTGTTATAAAAGAGGCTTCTGAGCCGGAGTCTATTAGTGCGCGGGCTGAAAAGTTACTATTCTGGAAATATATATTAACACGCGCTGTTCCTAATAGAACCCCTTTTCTCGTATTAGCGAAGCAAGCTTGAACGTTGTTTACTGCCCTTATAGATTCGCTTCTGGCTTGGGCTTGGGCAGAAGTTGATGCAATGTTATCTGTGGGATACGAATTAGTTGCTTTTGGTGGAGCTGCCTGGATATGGAGGAGCGTATGATGAATTGACAGGTCCTACAATAAAAGGGGCTACTGCACCTTGATACCGTGTGACCAGAGGAT